GGATGCAGGGGCACTCTGGCTGTAAGAGCAAACAAGTTGAATGGCGTAACATGCCCTTAGAACATAGCCAGGAGGTCCTCCAGCACTGGTGGGAAATGGGCAGTGTAATTAAGCCCCCTAAGAAAAATCTGAGGGTTGTTTTTCAGCCCCCAGTACTTAGTGTTGTGGCGTGAGGGGGAAGAAGTGTTGTGATGGTTCATTTCTGGAGCAGTTCATCAGTGGTTGCCCTAGAGTCTGTTTTTGGAAGTCCCAGCTGACTCAAAACCCTGTAGATCCAAACAATCCTTTGTAACTTCAAAGAAAGTAACCATAACCCAGGGTGATGTTATTTTCCCTTTGGTTTTCTTACACAGCACAATTTGTCTGGCTAAAAACGTTTGATATCACACAAAGAGGAATAAAGGTAGCAGTCCTCGCCTCCAGTGTCATACAATGAGCAGCAGATCTGATCTACCTCAACTGACTGTTCCCTATGAATAGTTTTGGCGTTGGCTGAAAATAGTACTGAGGGTAACTTGCATTGACCATGTGATGACACTTTGAGTTGCAAAATTACTTTCAGATAACTTGCAGTGAAAAAGTAAAAATAGCACAGTACATTAGACTCATCTGTGTGGAATGTATATCTGCCAAAATAGGGCTCCTTAATATTTACAGTTTGTCTAGGCAGAACAACCTGTCATGCTACACTCTGTTTCACTTTTAGGCAAACAATTTGCACTGATAATGTTGCAGGCTGTGCTGTTTCCAAATGTACAGCAAACATAAGAGAAGCATTAATTTAACCATTCTCTTCCTAGCAAATACCATGCCTGTGAAATGTCATTAGTGAGCTCAGACAGAGGTGAGAGGTCACAGCTTTAGCAAAAAGTGATTAAAATGTGTCCCAATGTAACAGACTAATTAATCTTTACATAATAACAGGGTGTTTTTTCCTCTTTTCTCTCTCCAGCTGGGAGCATTCACTCTCCCTCCACAAGTATGGCAACATCTGCGCAATACAGACAGCTTATAAATGACTACGGGCCCCCATCTCTAGGCTACACACAAGGGATGCAGGTACATCTCTGCTTGTTGTTTCTCTTTAATCGGATCACTGACCCTGCATACTGGCCTGGATTGGGGCCTGTAATCTGAGGTGTTCCTCCCTCCCACCAAGATGTGAAATCAAACCCAAATGGCACACTGATTCATCACACATGTCTTGGGATCAAATTAGACTAAGCAGAGTGCTGAGTGAGATTGGTTACTAATTAACTGTTAGTCCCATCCCATCTGAGTCACTGTGAAACATGTCTTCAGTTATGTTGAGATACAAGAGCTCCTAACATATTTTATTTGTTAAAAAATGACTATTTCTGTAAGGTTTCTCTTCAGTAAATTTATACCCTAAAACTTAGTCCCATAAAGTGTGTGTCACGCACAGTCTTGTGGGCTGCTCCAGGAATCCAGCTGTAAACTTTCCATTAGATGTTCTTGACTTCGTAAGATTTCCCTTATGATGCAGGCAGTTTTGCTTTTTCTGCTTCTCACTCTCCTGCCTTCCCCACAAAATGTACAACTAAACACTGAAGAAGCAAAACCAGAGTTAAATAAGCAATTCCCAGCTTGCAGTTCTCTTAGTTCTGTTTTAGCTCCGGTTTCACCCAAGGTCCCTCTCTTGCAGCTGCATGCTCCCATTTGATCCTGATTTTTGAAGGGCACTTAGCACTGTGTCCAGCTGTAGTGGCAACCACAAAAAGCAAATGATGTTTCTATAATAAACCTGAAATTTTACTGTCTTAAAAAGTGCCTTCAAGGTCTATTTCTCCCTGTGTTCCCAGTTGCTGTTTATTGTAATTGTTCTGTTTGTAGCAGTATTTGATTGAGATTAATCTATTTTCTATTACAGGGGACCAGCAGCAGCCAAGTACCACAAAGCAAATATGCAGAACTTCTAGCTATCATAGAAGAACTAGGAAAAGAGATTAGACCCACATACGCTGGGAGTAAAAGCGCGATGGAAAGGCTAAAAAGAGGTAATGTTTAAATCTGTTCAAAAAAAATCATGTCCCGTACACTTGGAGCACTGATGGCTTGTGTACAGCTTCCTGACAACTGGTCCTTTTGAAAGGAGACAGCTGCTTTGAGCTCATCATTAAACTGGGTGTATTAATGAACAACTGAAACCTTGGGGTACTCCAGTTGTGCTGCATTTGATAGATAAACCAGTGACAAAGTAGCTTTCATGTGCACAAAGGGAGTTTCAGTTAGTATTTCAAACCATCTTTTAGACCCATAGGGTGTCAAATGGATACGTGCTTTCAGGTTGCTGGTGACTGACTTGCCCCTTCAGTTTTCCCTTTCTGGTCTCTAGAATACATGGTCAAGCATTGTTTACTTCTCCTCATGTACATCATCCATGTACTTGACCCAGGAGCCTTTACTAAAGTGCATTTTCACACCAAGGCTGATGGAGAGCTACAAAAAGGGAATAAAAGGTTGCCAGGGAGGGCTGTGCAGACTGAGATGTCAAACATACACATTTGTTCCTCCACTCTGTTACCTGTTGTCAATGGATGTCATTAAGAGCCCACCAGGGAGGGACATAGAAGCTTTTAGGGCTGGCTGATAGGTCTTTTCAGGTTTGCTTTGTCAGCTGAAAGGGGTAATAAATGCCCTTTCCTTGCAGTGTAAAAGAAACCCCTGCATGCCCCTCTGCTGACATCAGCTTGACATTGTCCTCCGCAGGGGACGTGAGAGGGATATTTCTGAAGGAGCAGTGGGACATTCCACTGCCCCAGCTCCTGAAATTACCCTGAAAGGCCATGGACAACAGTTGTGCTGGCAGTCCTGTCCTTTGCCAGCATAATGTAATTACTGTTTCCTTGGTCCTTGTGCTGAGTTTGGCTCATGCTTTCAACCCAGAATGGGAATGTTACTGTAGCAGACTAACTTCACCACCTTGCAAATCCCCCTTGCATTTACCCAAGACTACGAAGCTTTATTTAAGGCTCAACCATTATGGGAGAGTAATATATCTGCCATGACATGCAATAAAATGGCTAGTAGCTGTTCTGGGAAAGGATGCAATAAAGTCTGCTGATGAGTGGTAAGTGGAATCTGGCCCAGCTAAAATCAATGTTGCTGGAGTCTCTTTATTGCATTGCCTGAGTCAGTATTAATAGATCATGAATGGCAGTAGGCTAATAGGGACAACCTGAGAGGGACCGGGAGAAATGTAGACATCCTCAGTTTGGTCAGAAGTTGTTTTGCTGCTGCTCATAGTGAGTATCCAGTTTGCTGCCTGAGGTGGGTTTCAGGTTCAGTGCTGGCACTGTGACTTGCCAGTGTTGCAAAGAATCCCAAATATATACTTTTTGCTGCCATCTTTTGGTCACAGACATACCTCTCTTTCCATTTTGGGAGCCTGATGGTTGAAGGAGCATGTGCAAGTGTGAGAGCGAAAGTGACTGAGGGTAACCCAATGTGACTGCAGCCCCCCTGGCCACATCCCCAGCTCTACCTGCTCCTAAGCACAGAGACTACTGACCTCTAAAACTGGCCAAATTCCCCACTGTTCTTCATCATTCAGGATAGATCTGCTGCATAAACTGGGCATCCTGCCACCAGATCCAGGTCTGATGCACAAATTCTGCATCCCACAGCTGCAGGATGCAGCTTTACTTGTCTGTGTCAGTTTAACCCTCTGCAAAGCCTTGTGCCTGTCAAGTCCCAAGTCAATACTCCTTACATGTAAAGGCTGTTGCTGTGATATGGAATAGCAGCCTTCCAGAAACAGAATCCATTATCTTTAAATAGAGTTTAAGCTTCATCTCTTGTGTTATTGTCCTTTCTCCACCTTGTTAAGGAACATAACTGAGCAGAGAAATCACTTTCTATCTTGTCCTGTCAGTAAAAGATAACCTCGTTTGTAGTAGAAAAACCTGTCTTGTCTCTCATCTCTAAAATCCATCTCGGGCTCTGTTCTTTCAGCAGCTCTGTGAACATGAATCTAGATTTAGTTCCAGGATTAAGAATGGAGGTCCAGATTGCTGGAACTGAAGGCAACAGGCCTTGTAGTGAAAAATTCCACATTATGTCTATCAGATGAGAGTAGATGTGGCAGCATGTGAAGTGGTGATGACTTACACTGGGAGCTGAGCCAGTGTTAGGAGGGAGCTTTTTGCACACACCATAAAAAGTCCTCCTTACAAGAGACACAACTTGTGTTTAAGCAGTATTATGAGGGCTTGGATTAGGTGCATCCTCTCAGAGAACTGTCCCAAGGTATTAAGACTCAGAGCTTGCTAAAATGACTCCCAGGATAACTTTGTATTTACTTTTCACTGTAGCAAAACAACTCACAGGTAGGCGAGGTGGTTCCTCCCTCCCGTCTTTGCTTTTAACAGGCCTGCACTGCACATTAGGATATACCTGTCACTGCAGACCTGCAGATCTTGCCATGCTTTCATTCCTGGCTTAGCCCTTTTTCCATTTATAATGTCAGTCTGGGAAAGCAGCAGCTGATGTTTGGGAAGTAGCAGCCTTGGCAATTTAGGACAGAAATACCTCAACCTTTCTCTGCAGTGCCACTGCAAGCGTGACCGGGACGAGATGATTGAAAACGTGTCCAATTCTTTTGCAGGCATTATCCATGCCAGAGGATTAGTTCGGGAATGCCTGGCCGAGACGGAACGAAATGCAAGATCCTAGCCCACTCATTCCATCTCTGAATGAAGAAAAATAACATTTATTCCTTTTGACTCTTGAAACATTCAGACAAATTCCTTTATTTTGAATGTTCTGCCTTTCTTGTTTCACCCTTACGAAAATGTATAGTTAAGAATGAGAAAACAAGGATTTTTTCAACTTCCTGAGGGTTTGCATTTTGTAAAGACATTAAAACTCCCTCCAAAATGTTTCTAAAACATGAAAACTGAACTGCATGCAGAGGAATGCTCTTTCTCTCCCAGGCTCTATTTCAGTTCTCTTCTTATCCAGCCACAGTCTCATTCTGGTTTTTGGTTTTTTCCTTTGACTGTATTCACTTAACCCCAAACTGTCAGTCTTCCACAGTCTGACATAAGCTCTGAGGATTTTGTTTAATGAATGCAGAATAGCATGCTGTCCCCTGTAGTCTGCTAAGTCACACTTTGTCATACAGCATAGACCCTGCTTAGAAATAACCTTCCCCTTCTCTTACTTTCCCTTTTTTGTTCGTTTTGCATAAACATTTGCATGACTGTTAGTGCTTTGAAGTCCATTTAAAGTGCATGAGTTATATGGAAAATAGGGAAACCTATTAAATAATAACAAGGTCCTGGAAAGCTAATTTCTACATTAAGGCTGGAGATTTCAGTTTAAAGTTTGCCAAAAAAAAAAAAAAAAGAAGAAAAAGAAAATTCTGGATAAATTACTAAAACTGTTATTTGCATCTTTGTATGTATTTATTACTTGACGTAATAAAGCTTATTTTCATTAACAGTTTGTATTAAAACTCTGTACAGTCACTTTAATTGGATTCATACTCCATGAACAAGAACTCTCAACAGCTAAAAATGTAACTTTCATGCAGGCGGCTCAGGTTCAGGAACAGCAGAGGGAAAATTAGGGAACAGCCCTGACTTGCTGGTGAGTTTCCATCCCTGGCACAGTGGGATGCAGTTGGAAGGTGGTTACAGTTGCCAGTGGTCTCCACTCCTTTCAAAACACATACTGTGGCCTGGCTTCCTGAAGCTTTCTCGTTTCAGTACTGAAGGCCAAAACTTGGTGGCAACTAGTGAGGAGGTGCTGTCCAGAAATGAAAGGGAAGTTCCGGTTAAACAATTAGAGTTGTGAATGGGATTAAAATGGGAAAGTATTCCTCACTAGTGCCTTCAGAGTGACAGTAACAAAGGACATGCAGCTGTATTTGCAGAACATTGCAAAGTGTCTGAAATGAGGGAAGATACTCAAATGCCTGAGCTTAATGTAATAAGTGACTGTAATTCTTTATTATGCAATCTAAATCCTAAGGACGTTGGGCTGTCTAGGCTATCTAACACATAGAGCTATGGATACTTGCAGAAAATACAGTATATTAAGAGGCCAAGTTAATTACTTCACTGCTTGGATGAACTGGATTCCATTGCCTTGAGAGGCAGCTTCCAGGACATGTTCTTTAGCTGTAATAACCCAATTTTACCTTTGAACTGGAAGAACACAACTCACTTGCAGGAGGGAGTGTTGGTTTTAGGCTTGTTCTTCCCAAGTGTTTGAACTCCTACGAAGCATCATAAGGTGTCATCCAGGCAGAAAGAAATCTATTGCACTTTTTGGTCTCCATTACCAATGGTAGAAGGTTTATAGTTCCTTTTTAACAAGGATTGCTTTAGCATCTTCTGAACTTGGCAGGGAAACTGATTGCTAAATGTGATTAATGAGATGATGGCGGACAGAAGCAGAAATACAACTGCTTTTATCACCTCAGTTTTACAGTAATGGAAGGTCACTACTTGGTCTTTCAACAGTGCTTAGGGAGCTCTACATCAAACTAACTTCATCCGTTAGTTTGAAACCCGGGTTTAGGTATAATGATAAACGTTCCCCTTACCCTACTCAGGCAAGTCTGTATTTCATACAGTTCATTTCTTATCCAGTTGTTGCATCTCTTTAAAAAGCTTTTTCCTTTCTAGATGTTCCCTTGCTTTTCTTTTTTTCTCCTGCTTTTTCTTCTCCAATGCTTTCCTCTCTTTAAAAACATCACTTTCTTCACCTTTATAGAAAAGGTCAACTTTTTCCTGCAGGATTTCTCTGGCTATCTTCCGATTCTTCTCCACTGATCTTGTTTGATGACACTGAAGAAACACAATAAATATTTTTACTGGAACCTTACTCTCTTTATCTTTCTGCTTTCCCTTTCAGTCTATGCATTCCTGCCATTACTGTAAAGAAACTCCTCTTTCGCTACTGTAACTTGTTAGACTGGCTTTTGCATTAATCTTCAATGTTCCTATTTTACCTTGGAGAGCTGTTTCTGAGTTTAACTTAATGTCTCCTCCTTATGATAAGGAAGCAAAGATTAATTTCAAAGTATTAATCCACAAGAAACAGGCAAGAGGAATGCTTAAAAAGAATCTGCAAAGTGGATCTGATCACCTTGTTAAGGAAGACATTGTAACTCACAAGAGGGACAGGAATGTGAGAGCTGCCACTGAAAGGCAGCTACAACAAAAGAGTGTATTTCTGATAGCCAAAACTTGCTTCTGGATGAGATTCTTTACATAAAATTTTTCCTCCCTGACATCTGCACTGTGATGATGCATTAATATTAAAGAAGACTTGGAAGACATGATGCCAATTTGTGACTTCATGGAATAAACCAATTACCTTCACTACAATCCCAGATGGAACATGCTTCAAGACAACACAGTTGCTTGTCTTATTTGTGGCCTGGCCTCCTGGGCCATCACCTCTCACAAACTGCTCTTCTAATTCTGCCTCACTTAGTCCAAGGAGATTGAGAGAGTTTTTCTTCCCTCCTGCCTGAAGTAAGGGTGCTCTGGGTAGAGAGAAATGCTTCTGCCCCAGAATCCATGGTCTCCAGCCTGGCGCTCGGACTTCTCTCAGCAAGGATGCAAAATGAAATAAACCTGGAACATTCATACAGAAACGAGGACACGGCTACTCTGGAACAAAACCTGGAACACAAGCGGGGAGTACAGTTTACCGTGAAGATCCGGTGTTAACATCTAGATCCCACTTTTTCCACGCGGATACACGGGTGCTTGTTACCGGTGCCACAGGCAAGCCCACGGAGGACGATGCATTTATACCCCTGACTAAACCGCCTTTTAACGCTACTGCACTGCCGAGAACCTCGCACGCACACGCGGTAACGGAGCGAGCAGCACGGTGTCAGCAGAGCCGGGATCTACGGCTTGTCACTGCGGCGCTGCCCTCCCAGCCCCGCCGCCTCCCCGGTCCTACGAGCCCCGCCGCTGCCTCCTACCTTCAGGCGACTCGGGGCGCCTCCGCCCCCACAGCGCAGGCGCGTCCCGCTGCGCACGCGTGCCACCCCCTCTGCGGCTCCGCACACCCCCCCGCGCTTGCGCAGCGCAGGGGCGATCGGCACTTGGCTGCGCAAGGGGCGGGCTACCAATCAGATCCCGGGAACCCGTGCGGCGCGTAGCCACACTGGCCAATCCCCGCGCGGCGCCGCGCGTACTTTTCCACGTAGCGAATCAGCGAGGAAGGCGCGGCCCAGCGCGCGGTTAAGGTGGCCAATCATCGAGCAGGGCTCTGCCTGGAGCGCCCTCTGCCCCACCGCGTTCGAAACTCGGCCGCCAATCGGTGGGAGGAAGGCGGCGGCCGCGCCTGTTTATCGCCTAACGGTCACCGGAGGAGGCCGCTCTTGGGCCGCTGCGGACGCCTCCCCGCGGGCTCCCAGCGATGCGGGTAGGAACCGAATGAGCCCGGGGGGAGGGTGGGAGAGCAGCGCTGGGGCGGAGCCCGCCGCGCCTCTGCACTTGGACGCGTCCCGGCGCGGGCGATGCCGCCTCCATTACCCCGCCCCTTTCTCTGATGAGTGGCAGGAAAGCCAGCCAATCGGAAGCGGCGGCGCTGTCAACATCCCGGAGCGCGAGGGGCAGCTGCCCAATGGGAGCGTAGGGGCGGGGCTTGACCTGAGGGGAGGGGGCGGTGGGGGCGGAGTCCGTGAGGGGGTGGGAGGGGGACGGGACCGTGAAGGGGGAGAGCCGAGGGTAAGGGGCGGCCTGGGAGAGGAGCTCGAGGGGCCGAGGGAATGGATCCATTGGAAGGGGGCAGAGGTGCGGAGGAGGTCGCTAATTGAGGGGAGGCGGCCCTGAGGGGGGTCCCTTGTGAGGGGCGGGGGTCCCGTGATGGAGCTGAGCTTTACGGGCGGGAGCGTTTCCTGAGGGGATTCAGAGCCCTGCGCTCGTTGTTCTTCCCCGTGGTCCCTCAGGAAGTCCTTGGGAAGCCGGGGAAAGGGAGTCCCGGCGGCGGGAGGGGCAGCGGGGACCGAGGGGCCCCGTGCCCCCCGAGGGGGGGAGTCGTGGGCAGTCGGGTCTTGCTCAGGAGGAGCCGCAGAACCACGCGGGCTGCGCTGGCCCCGCTGCTCGCATCCACATCGCACTTAAAGAGTCAGAATACCCCGCAGCTTGGTTTTTATCCTGCTCCTTTATGTAGGGACGTGGTCGTATAAGGATTATTCTGTGCTATGGAAACAATAGCTGTCAGCTTAGTGCTCCTCAGCCCAGTTGCAGCTCACTTAATGTGCTTTTTTTTCGTATTGTGAGCAGACTCCTAATGAGGTTATGAAACGAGCCTGTGTCACAGCGAAGTCCCACCCATCTGCTGTGCTGCTGAGATAGGCCACCCATGATTGCATCCTGGGGAGACTGAGGTAGCTCCCTGCACTGCCATCAGCTGCTCCAGAGACACTCGCAGCTCCTTTATCTGTACTGTTAGGTGCCTGATAACCTTCAAGTTTTCCTCACTTTGAACCACTAGAGAAAGAAGAGAGGCTTTTCTCCCCCTGCCTCTTCATTTATCCCAAGAAGCTTTGCCAAAGGATATGTGCATCTGGGATAGCTTCCTTCCCATTCTTGCATTTTCAGCCCTGTCCAAAGGAGATAGTTTGAGTGAGTACGTGGGAAACATTCCTGGTGTAAGTCCAGTAAAACAGGCAATAATCAGGCTGTTTTCCATTGGTTTTCCTTCTGGTGGAAATAAATGTTTATGCTTCCAGACCTATCTGTTAGCGTGATATCTCTTTGTACTCACAAGTAATGTTAAAGCCAATAGCATGTAATTGTAAGCCCTCTAAAGAGAAATGGTTGTGTTGAAGGTGTCGTGCTTCTTTAAGGCAGCAGGGGTTTATTTTTAGTAGTATCACAGACCACTAGGATGTTATTTCTTAATGTCTCTTCTTGTTCATCCGTGACATGATTGTAAGGTTTCTCTTCACTGTTAGAACACAGAGTGAATTCACCAGGGTGTAGAACACGCTGCAATAAGCACTATAGAAGGACTGAGCAATGTATTCCAACTATTTCTCAGTGAAAGTATGGGAACTAGAGGAATATTTTAGTCTCTTTACAGCATTTCTTGTGAACTGCTGCTTTGAGTGCTGTGAGAGCATCGCACAAGTGTTTAGTAGTTATTTATTTATGAGGCTTTCAGTTAACCAGCTGCTGTGTTTAACTGCTCTGGGATTCCTGTTGGACTACATGGGTTTTTGTTGTTAGTTGGTAAGAGGTGTAGCTCAAACCAGCTTTTTTGAGTTAATGTTATACAGTAACAGTAAAACAAGTGTTCTGTGAAGAAAGCAAGCCAAATATCACAGAAATGTCAGAATTGGTCAGCTGCAGTCTAAGTCAGTCTTGGGTTTATTTTCTGGTGGGTGTGCTTCTTGCAGGGAAGGCAGGGATCCCTGTTCAGCAGGTTTAAGTGCATTGATAATAAGGCCCTTTCACAGAAGTCCGAGAGCTCAGGTTTAAGCCAACCAACCAAACCCCAACAACACTGTTTTACCTGGATTTTTTTGGATTCAGACACCACTTACAGCCTGGTCTAGATACAATGCACAGCTGGGAATCTCCTTAAGTTTTAGTGGTCCCAGCAAGTAGAAAGCTGACTAAATACCCCGTTTGCAAGCATAGTACAGGGCAAGGAAGAGAGGTTGGTTGTGGAATGCCAGCACTTTCTGGGGTGGTTTGGCTCTAATAAAATTCTGATTCTTTAATCAAATGGCTTTTAAAAACCAGATGGTGGTGCTTATTATATTCTGTATATTTATTTTCAGGGTAACATCATACTTGGGACTAAGATATGGAAAACTGTGACGTGGTGAAAACTGCACAAGAAATCCCTTCATCTTCTGCAGACTCTGATGTCAGAAATACCCACAGCTCTGTCTGTCACTTGCATTGTAACAGGTGATGTGTTGAAGAAATTCCTGACAAAGATTGTTATTATTTTCATTATGCTTCATTAGTATGCTATTGCAGTAGTGTTGTTACTCAGGTGAAATGATATGTAATACTCTGCAATGTATTTTGGGCTGTTTCGCATTTACAGGTGTAATACATAATGAGAAAAGCTTTACTGAAAGAGCTGTTAATTATTTCTTAAAAGCTTAGTAACTTCCATTGCCTTGTGTCTTGTAGAATTTGGGCTGGGAACCTGTCTTGCACTAGTTGTAAGAGCTCATTCTTTAGAATGATCATGCATTGTGCTGAGACCATGCATTGGTAGAGACCAGCAGCTTAGAAATACAGAGCTGTTTTTCTGTTCAATGCCTATGCTATTCCCAGTCTGAATAAGAAGGGCAAATATGGACTAATGGTCTAAGCGATAATAAGGAGAGGTTCTGCTTGATTGACCTATTAAGATGAGAGTTACAGGTTGCTTACTCCTCAGAAGGAGGCAGTACTCCTGGGCTTCATGAATCATAACACAGCAGCTCATATTTGTGCACTTCTAACATCAGAATCCATAAGGAAGCACATGGGTTTGATGAAAAGCTGGATTTATTGACATTTGCGCTAGCGAGCAGTAGTGTCTCTGCTGGTTATACTGCCTCTCTTCTTGGAAAGCTGTGTTTTAACAGTATGTGAGATAAGAATGAGGCATCCTGTGGATTCTTGGACATTTTCTTAATAAACATCTATGAACAGATCAGTTGTTATTTTTCCGCATGATGAGGATCACAGTGTAAATTAAGTGTGTAACTCCATACAGCTTCATAGCATATGTAGTGTATTATTTTGGCCACTATACTGAGCAACTGGCACAATAAATAATTGAAATCCTTTTCCTTGTGTTTCACTAGAAGTCCCTCATCCAATCCCAATGGAGTTTCTGGTTACTCAGGGAATACCAGGTCCTCATTAATGCCTGGTTCTGTTGAGCTGCTTGCCTCCTTTGTGCAAGATCTCCAGAACGCTGGAAATGCTGACTCAGAAATTGTGAAGAGCTGTGAGGTATTTCATGTTAAGGTTTATTTTTAAAGACATTTGTATTAATATATCAGCTTTGTATTTTGGAAGATAAATCTAATGATACAGTTTAGCAGTAAGTTCTATGATGTATGTTTATTCCTCATGATGGGACAAATCCCTTTACAATGTATGAACTAATTGTGTGCATAGATTTTACTGCAATTTTCCCTTAGCTTTTAATCTTAGTATTACAAGACAGATGTGAATATTTTTTCCAGAGTTTCAATTGCAAGTTTTTGACTGGAAAAAAATGTAAACCTTTAAAATTGTCTCACTTCAAACTGGCCTGAAGTGATCCTGGGAATTAGAAGTTTTCTTTCTAAAACTGGCTCAGTTTTAGTTTAATTACTTATTTACTCCATTTGTAGTAATGTGATCAGTTTGTTTCCCCACTTAAAACAACCCCAAAGTCATGAAGTGGGTTCAATGAGTTAATTCTCTCGAATGCTTTTTAATGTTGTTTTTTGTCTTTTTTTTACTTTAAATTTTATCATTATATTTAGTCCCCGTAATGAATATGAGGTTTCCATACCATGGCTTGTTCTTGCACAATGTTGGAGGTTTCTGGCTGTGGTCCATTGAACTGTCTTTGGCAGATGCTTAATTTGGATGTGCTTTAACAGCTCCGAGGAAGGAACAGAGGTGTCTGTGTCAAGGCACATACGTTCTATGTCCCGTGTCCTGTGCTTCAAGTATCAGGCTCC